TTTGTGATGTGTGATTTGGCACTCGTGGAGAATGCGTCATTTTAAGTGAATTGTCCAGACCACAGTAGCAAATGTTTTTTACCTCTTTAAGAAACTGAGAAGAAAATTCCAAAGAGCAGTTTGACAAGTCCCAGTAGAGCATGACAGGAATGGTGTGAAGACCTGGAGTTAGAGAGCCAGCACGAAATATCATGCTCTGCATGTTTCCAAATGGAAAGAAATGAAGGAAACATTGAAGCCTGATCTGGAATATTGAAAGATTCTATGGGCAAAATATTGAACACTGTGGGCAGCATCCAAAACGGGTGGAAGGAATATGCACGGTCATTGTGCCGAAAAGAATAGGCCAATACTCAACCATTTCAAGAGTAGCATATGATTAAGAACTGGCGGCATTTAAAGAAAAACTCCAAGATGCATAGACAGCACTCGCAATGAGCTTAAAGGAATCCCAATGGAAAGTCTTCAACAAGCCGATGCAGCCCTGGAAACACTTGTTAGTTTATACTAAGAAATTTGGAAGACTGACTGGGAGAGATCTGTATTTGTGCCAATTTCAAAGAAGATGAACCAACAAAATGTGGAAATTATTGAGTAATATCTTTAATACCACATGCAAGTAAAATTTTGCTGAAGATACTTTAAAAATGACTGCACAGTACCTCAACAGGGAGTTACCAGAAATTCAAACTGGATTCAGAAACTGACATGGCATAAGGGGTATCATTACTGATGTCAGACGGATCTTGGCTGACAGCACAGGCTACCAGAAACATGTTTACTTGCGTTTACATGATGCTGCAAAGGCCTTTGACTGTATGGATCATAACAAACCACGGGTAGCATTGAGAAGAATGGGAATTCCAGAACACTAAATTGTGCCCATATGAAACCTGTAAAAAAAATCAAGAGACAATCATTCAAATAGAAGAAGGTTTAAACTGCATGGTTTAAAATAAGGCAAGGTGTATGTCAGGGTTGTATCCTTTTGCATACTTATTGAATCTGAATGCCGAACAAAGAATCTAAGGAGTTGGATTATATGAAGAGGGACATGGTACTAGGATTGTAGGAAGGCTCACTGATAACCTGTGATATGCTGATGACCCATCACCTTGCTTGCTGAAAGGAAGGATGACTTGACACATTTGCTGATGAAGATCACAGATCACAACCTTCAAGATGGATTACAACTCAGTGTAGAGAAAACAAAAATCCTCACAAAGGGAGTAACGGATCACATCATGATAAACGGAGAAAATATAGAAGTTGTCAAAGATTGCCTTTTACTGATGGACATGATCAGCGCTCATGGAAGCAGCAGTTAGGAAGTCACATGACCACTTCTCTGTCAGTTTGTCATACTGTGGCGGCTTATGTGCTGTATGATGCTGGTAACGAGCTCGCTGATTATTTGAAATACCAGTAAAGTCATCATTAGTGAACAGGTTTCAGTGGGCTTTGCAGATTAGGAACAGAGTGGGAAGAAGCAATAGGCTGTCTACATCTAAAAGATTAGCCACTGACAACCTTATGAAAAGCAGGTAACCTTTCAGGCCCAGTGTCTAAAGGGGAGCCCCTCGGGTTGGAAGGCACTCAGAAGCCGACTGAGGAAGAACCGTTTCCTTAAAGCAGAGTCCACCTTAATGATGTGGATGCAGGAAAGCTCTTGGGGGGCGCTACTCAAAATGAGAAGAAATAGCTTCAACCATCCATTACTAATCAAAATTCATCAAAAATAAATGCATAGAGATCAATTTCCTAGACCTGAAATGAAGGCGTATTAGCCATATTGAGTCAGACAATCATAGGGTTTACCATGCCAGTACTGACAAATTCAAGAGGAATATCATCACATTTGTTTTTAAAGAGAACATTTCAAGATCTATGCAATTGTCTGTGATAGGATCGTAGCCCTGCACTTACAAGGAAGTCTAATTAATAATTCAGATTTATGCGCTAATCTCTAACGCAAGTGATGAAGAAATTGAAAAATTCTACCGAGGTCTGCAGTCTGGAATTGATCGAGCATGCAATCAAGATGTATTGATAATTACTGGTGATTGGATATCAAAACTTGGAAACAAAGAGGGAGGATCAGAAGTTTAAAAACAGGGCTTCAGAGATCAAAACAAGCTGGAGATCGCATGATAAAATTTTCCAAGATAATTTTCATTTATCCACCGATACTTATTTAGTGCCTACTGTGCTCTAATGACCAAGTGCCTCATGTGCTCAATGAACACAACAGATGGAATTCCTGCCATCTCAGTACATAATTTTCATCTTCATTGTTTCAGCCCTACAAGGTCAACATCCAGCTTAGAACCAGTTCTCTACCTAGTACGCGCTGTGAGCTCTGCACAAACTTCAGTTTGCAGCCTGCTTATCAGCGCTCCTTTGTAGCCACCACACACGTGCCACTCACTTCCCACGATAGGAACCATGCCCGTATGAGAGGACTAGACCTGCTGAAGATCTGGACGTAGATTGGAAAAGCTATACCTGGCTTTGTCTACCCTAAACGTTAAATAGTGTTGGCAAACAT